ATTAAAATGGGACATAACCGTTGCCGGCGGTCCGCCCGTGGCCCGACCCGGCCCGGCCCGGACCGCCGGTGCAAATTTTTTTTTTTTTGGAACCGGGACCGAACCGCGACCCTTGCGGTTCGGTCAAACGGACCGGCCCGAATATGGCCGGTTACGGGCCGGTTCGGTATCGGTTCACGGTCCGGGCCACGGGCCGGTTCGGCCCGTGGCCATGTCTACATAAAAGCATGAAAAATGGAGTAGGATAGATGATTTTTAGATCTCGAGATGAGCATGTGATAAAATTGTGATTTAAATTTCTAAAATCCTATAAAAATGTCTTGAGGCTGAGGATTAATTTGAAAATTTTTGGAGTTCATTTGTACGTGAACTAGAATTGTAGATCTAGATTTATCATGGCCATTTTACGTTGAATAAGTTAGAGATCTATTCTTGCTAAAATATTTTGCCCAAAAATCTGAGGATTTTTGGAGATCAGGACTTTAGCCTTTAAAAGGTAAATTTTTAAATATTTGAAAATGATGAGATATAGATGAGGTTTGTAGATCTAAATCTTTATATATAGTGATGAGTTATGCCTAAAGTTTCAGCTTGAAATGAGTTAGGTTGTTCGGAGAACTAGAACTCTAGATTGACTAGTTTTTTAGCACCGAGTAATTTTAAAATCCGAGCATATTTCCCCAAGTCACCATAGTCTATATGAACTCTAGACTTCATAAAGAACCTTATGGCCTGAGAGTTGTCGGAGGGATTCGCCGTCCGACAGGCGAATCGCTGGTCAAAGCTGTAGCCCCTACCAGCGTGCTGCCGAGGCCAGTGCCTCGTAGATGCAGAGCCGTGCGCGCGCACCAACAACCGCCCCGTAGCGCGCCGTCGAGGGCACAATGCACCTCGCGGCACGCAGCCGTGACCACCAGCCAACGTTCATCGCCGCGTGCCGCGCTGTCGCCGAGTGTTCCGTCGCAAACCGTCACCGAGTGCGTGCCCGTGCACCAAGACCGTCCCTGGCCGTGCCCCTGCGCCCTGTACGCACCCTTGCTCCCTGTCTTCCCGCGCTCCCACGGGCCAGCGCGCCCCGGCGCCAGTGACCTGCAACACCTCCCACCGCTCGTCAGCACGATCTTGCTTGGGCGACCTTGCATTGCGACAACACATTCATAGATGTCAAGGTATGGACGAGTGACCCTTTCGGCTCATGGAGAGACGGTCACATTCACTTTGAACAATGCCCGAGAAGCTCCACCCAAAGTTGGATAATTCTCGTTTATAGACGACATCGATAAATAGGTACATTCTGACTTCAATTCTATGTTTCTTAATTGCAATCGTGTCGTTGAAGAGAAGAAGACGTTGGAATCAGGAATGGATGAAAATGTAGAAGTTGGATTGAAATGGGAGGAGCTGAAGAAGAAAAATGATGTTGAAGATGAAAATGGTTCGAAACCAGGCAAGAAAAGGTAAAAAAGAAGCCTAAGAGTGGTGATGAAAAATCAGGAGGTGCCCCACTGGGTATGAAAGAAGATGTGAATTCCCATTCGTGGAAGTTTAAGAAGAATCCCCGAGTGCTCCGAAAAGTACGTGGGCGACTCTTTTATTTGACGAGCATGAGAATGGAATGGAAGGACGAGGAGCTCGTCAAACCAAGCAGTAGATGAATTGACGGATATGTCGAGCTCACAACGTTAAACCGGGCGCTTCGTGGGAGGCAACCCACGTTTTTATTGTTTTTGTTGTTTTCCTCTTTATACATAAAAAAAATAAAAAGAAAAGAAAAAATGCTCGTGCCGACCTGCTCGGCAGCACCAACTTGTTAGAGCTGAGCCAAAAAAAGTTGAATTCATTTGGTCGAGTATCGTGCACGAAGAGTTGTGTCGAAGTGGAAATGTTGTGGTTAAGTATGATTTTTGAGCTAAAAGGGTGCCTTAGACCTTACTGGACTCGGGCCCCAACCTGCTATCGCGACCAACGAATAGCGTCACGCACGCGAGCGTCCACTCGCGACCAGTGAGCACGGACTCGCGCGCGCCCTGGATTTCGCGACCAGTGAAGACGCGCTCGCGGATTGCGAAAGCTCCTGCAATGGCGACACGCGTGCAAGCCCCCTTTCTGCTCCATAGTGTCCGCGCTCTCGCGCCCAGCGAACACTAGTTCGTGTGCGAACTCCCTCTCGTGCCCCAGCGAACGCCAGTTTGCCAGCCAACTCCAAGCCGCGACCCGCGAAGTGCCCAGGCGCCCCAGGCGCCTGTCTTCTTCTCCCAGCACTCCAGCTGCCGCCACCGCGCGCCGCCGGCCGCCTCCAGCCAACATTCTCCGATCATGAAAATTTTTACATCGACGTGTAGATCTCCTCGACACCAATGACATATCCAAATTTCAAGCGAAAATTCCGGCAAGAAGACCTCCGATTTTCCGATGATAGATCTACAAATCTCACTGGTCTTCTTTTCCAAATTCCCAGTGACTCAAGGAGACCCACAAAAATCTGAGGACACCTTCGACAGATCCGGTGAACTTTTCCGACGAGCTATTTTTCGGCCAAAATTCACTCACCGAGCCCCCGGTTCACTGTTTTTTCGCCATTTTCTTAGCAAACCTTATTGGATTCTTCATGGGAGGTTTATTTTCCGACAACCGGAGCTCCGAGCCATACTTCTGTCTCTCTTCCCACATTCCGACACCATATTTTCCGGCGAGCTTCAAGGTAGTATTTATTCTTCGATATTTTTTGTCATTGATGGTTTGGGATAATGTGGAATACTACTATTGCCAGAGTAGTGGTTTTGGTGGGTCGAAATGATTGATTGAGGTGTTTCGTCGATTGAGTTGGGCACGTCTTGCCAGACGTGCCGGTTTCTTATTGAAAGTGATCACCAGAGTCTCCCGATGCTCGAATGTTGACTATGGAAATTGCCGGACATTATTAACCGAGGAGGACGTCATTATTACATTACAACATTTTTAATACTTATGCTATATAATAAGCTTGACAGATAAAATTATTGTTTTTCAATTATAATTGATAAATATTTAAATTCTTATTGATAAAGATGAGATAGACATAATTATTTTAATTTACATATAAAATATCAATGTCAGATTATATATTGTCAAAATATGACTAGTTTAAGTTATCATATATAAAAAATTAAATGTTATTGACTTTTAAAATATATTTACAATTTAAGTTACCCAAACGTTTAAAATTGAAAGTTCTGGATAAAGTTAGGAACTAACATATAGAATTACAAAGCATTGGAAATTGAGATTGAAAAACTCTATATTTATCTATAAGAAGATAATCCATAAGAGAATCTTTATGAAATAACAAGAACAAAAACGATTACATTTAAGCTGTTCTTAAATTAATAAATTATATTACAAAATGATTTGTTTATTTCTTATTACAAAAAATATTAATGAAGGAATATGGATTGTGAAATATATTTGGTAAATTTCTTAATAATAATAAAAACGCAAAATAAAATAATCAGATCTCATTCTCAATTTCATTTTTCACTACAAGAATATGATTAAATTCCAATGAAAAGTTCCAACGGAAATATATTCTAATGGAATTCCAACGAAAAATTCCAATAGATATTCCAATGTTATTATTTCCATTGAAATTTTCCAATGGTTTCCAACGGAAATTCCAACAAAAATATTTTGTTTGAATGAGTTATCCATTTGAATTTTTGGTGAATTTTGACGATTCTAACGGTACATTTTCCAACGGTTGAAATATGAATGAAAATAAAAATTCCAACGAAAATTATATATTTTAACGAAAATTCCTACGGTAAAAAAATGTTGGAATAATAGCCGTTGGAATGATCAAATTTCATCCAAATTCCAATGAAAAAACTCATTTCAACGGAATAATTCCATAGGAATTTTTCTTTGGAATCATTGCAATGGAACTCATACCATTGGAATATCAGTTGAAATTTTCATTAGAATATATTACCGTAGAGTTTTCCGTCAGAATGTGACATTTTTTTGTAGTGTTTTAACATCTAGTCAAAGGCAAATTAAAAATGGAACCCTACAACACACGATTATTTTAATGATTTATTTAATTGTTAATATAAATACTTTCTGCAATATGGTTAAAAAAAATTTCGAACTATTTTTTGCCCTGGCTCAGTGAAAATTTCTGGATCCGCCTCTGCGTTGAATAACTTCCAACCCAAGTTTACATAGCATATTCTAATAAAAAAATACTATAATGATGATTAGAAAAAATGTTGCTTGAAAATTTCTCCTTCAGTACGTGTATTGGGACGAAGCTCACTCCAATCCAAATAACCTCTCCCTGGCCTTGGTTGCCTGCATGTTCCAAAATTAGTTAGAAATCGATCCATTTTTTGAAGGACAGTAAATGAACATCACGTATACAAATGCTACCTTGTTAAGGGCGAAACCGATAGCATCAAGTTTAAGAGTGGAATGCTGCATAAAGTAATATTCTACTAAAGGAATTGAAATAATTAATTTATTTTAACAATGGTTTTGAATTAAAAAATCATGAATACTACCATTAGGCGGCTATACGATAACGCAATCGATCCGCATGCTTTTTTAATAAAAATAATACATATACTGTGAGTAGTATGTTTTTTTTTTGTTTATGCTGTATTTAAGGTATATATATTTATTGAAAAAAAAATGTAAGTGCTTAATACACAAAGAGCATTTTATGGATACGCTATATATGTAAAACATCTTTTCCTTAATTTGTCCTTCATTGACTACTAGTAATTTTTATATGAATAAAGTAAAAATAATTAATTCATTTTAGATATATAATTTATAATTTTAATATACTATCATTTGGCGTAGAGATATATTATATGAATCATAAAGTATTTTTATTTCATAAAATTAAATATATATAAAGAAAATAAGAAATATTCTTCGGATCAATCGGGTGATTGAATTAGAGTACTGGCCAGGTTGATTGAATTACTTTTAAGTGATATTTGAAATAGTAAAAAAACTTGACACAACTTGGTTGGTCCGATGTTACCAAGTTATGTATCAGTTTGACCACACCAAATCAATTATTGAACATTAATATAAATTTTGTATTGAAAATATTTTATTACGTGAATGTGATATAGTCCAAACTTCAAATATTGTATTAACAATACTTTTTGTGACAACATGTTTAATGATTTATGAATATATTTATGTGAATTAAATAATATTCTCTTATAATATTTATTAATGTACAGTAAATATAAAGATTTCAGAACTGGACCGTCATCGAAACGATCAAACTATTTTATTAAATCATTTGTGGTTTGTTCAGATTTTAATTTATAAACATTTTCATAGATATATATATAGTACTTTTTGTAATAAAATTAAATAAAATGTGTTACTTAGATATCTAAACAATTATAAATTCAAATGTTTAAATTAATTGATAAATAATTTATAAATCTCTATTTTATTTAAATATGTATTTTTATTTAAAATAATTTTAAATATAACAAAATTTATTTAGAAAATCGTATCGATCCTACCAGTCCAACTGACTGGTGTTGACGGATTCGAGAGCAAATACTTTATTCAAGCGAACTAGACTGGTTATGAACCGGTTCTCGGTCCATCCGGTCGGACTGTGTCTAACCCGGTTTAATTTAAAAACAATTGATAAATCATGATTAATGTTATTTATATATTTAATTTATAATACAATCGTAAAATTGTTTCCCCGTGCATCGTACGGGCCACGCACTAGTTCATTTTGAATAAGATGAAATACTCCCTCATATATTTAATAAGTGTCGTTTTGAGAAGTTGCACAATAGTTAAGGATTTTTTGTTTCAATAATAACCCTCGTTAATAAGGATAGAGATAGATGTTTTGAGAAAAGATGAATAGTGAATATGAAAACACGTAGTGTATTTATTAGCTAGATGAGGGTAATAATGAAAAAAATATGTACAAAAGATCCAAAACGTCATTTAGTTGATTAATTGTTGATAAAGCCAAAATGACATTTAAAAAAAATAGGAAGTAATATTATTTTATATGTTTTGTAAACTGGCTTAACCTATTGCGCATGCACTAGATAAGGGGAACAGAGAGGAATTTTGTTAAACGCCCCTGTTTGATTGAGAAGTACAACTCTCCTGCAAGTATTTGGAATGTAACTGAACAAGCCACATTAACTCCATCAGCACTTTATTTATTTTTGTTGCAAGAAAAATATTTCGCATTAGTTCATTAGTAAAATTCCTCTCCTTTCACTCGTTGACCCAAACAGACCTTAGTTCTGATTAGTGGAATAAAGCAAAAATAATATTTGGCATTTAAATTAATTAGGTGGACTTAAATGGAACTGAATAACAGTTTTGCAACCAGAACCTGGAATAATCCTTTAATTTGAAATACCGCTAAATATCAGTTGTGGAACCATAGTCGAGAATTTTGTAAATAGTAATATTGTTGTTAAGCTATCTAGTCTAGTAGTTAAACTTGGTAGACAAAAGAAAAATAAAATGGATGAGGAGAAATCGCACCTGTTTTTCCCAATTTGTGCAGGCAGTTATGATGGAGAGCATAATGGTTTGCAAGGTTGCGCCACAGAGTATCCCTACCCAAAGACCTTTTCCCCTAAAATTTAACCAGAAACCTAAAACTCCCGCAATTGGAATACCAAAAAGATAAAATGCTGAAAGATTGACGTAAGCCCCCAAATGTTGCCATCCGCAGCCCCTCGCAACGCCTGCAGAACCATAATATATGGATTATTATACTCAATTGCAGTTAGCTCCTCATAATTGTACTAAATTACAAGATATCTCTCAGCTTATGAGAATAGCAAGACCAAAAAAATGAAAAAAATGCATTTGGAGTGGGGGTATGTTTGCATACCAAAAATCTCAACAAAATTCCTACATTTTAGCTCAACTATTTTTTTTTTTTAACTCAACCCTACTATCATCAATATTATCAATATAATTAAATAATATCAATCAATCATTCATACACACCACGTCAACCTTAATTCATTATTCATCCACTCACATTATTTTAACTAACTGTCACTCCAAATCATCTATCTCCTACTTAAATCGATTTTAATTATTTTATTTTAAATATTAATTTAATATGCCCACTAACAATTAATCATACCACATTTTTCAAAATTAACCAAACCAGACTAAAAAATCCAACAACACAAAAAGAAATTTATATCCAAACATTTACCCACTAAAATTTGCTCCAAGTATAGTAGAGCTTGTGTTTTTAAGTTGTGTAATTTTGTTATCCCCTTTATTTAATTCAAAAGAAAAAAAAATATTTTGATTTGCGAAAAAAGAAGGAATGGAAACCTGAAAGGGGCCCTTGGATAGAGTCCATTATGACGGATAAGCAAATGAGAGGAGCCAAATTGGTCACGTATTCCACAACCTCAGCCTCGTTGCTAAAAATATAGCCAAAAACGTGTCGACTAGCAAAGAGGCTTGCGCTTGCTACTATTGCATCAATAGCAGCAAGAAGCATTAGAGCAATCACTGACAAACGAGCTCCCTCTGGTCTACCCGCTCCCAACTCGTTTGAGATTCTAGTGCTACACATTTAATATAAAAAAAAATATTAAACAGTAGTTTTTGTAAGAAATTATAAGCACACGACAGCGAAAAATCAGAAGACTCATAAACAAGCAACAAGCATGTACCTTGCTGCAGCACTTAATCCATATGGTATCGCATAAAGCGTGGCAATTGTATTCAGGCTGTGGTGCACCGAAATCAATAGAGTAATATTACATACTCGATTTCTTATTATTTAGGAAATTTTCAGAAAATAAAAAAATAAAAAATTGAAGTGGTATAACAGTAAAGAACACGCACCATACAGAGAGCACGGAGGTCTCGAGCTGCGGATTTGGTAAAATCCCGGAGAGCAATATAACCAGCTCAAACGACCACCACTCGAGACTACAATAAAAGGAAAAAAAATGGAGGATTGATTTTCCCCACACTTAATTCAAAAGTGCAAAAGGTGAGAAGGCGAAAAAGAAAAAGAAAAAAAAATTTACCAAATCATAACCGCAGAAGGAACCGCAAATCTGAAAAACTCCCCCATCCCCTGAAACATCATCCTGATGGAGATGGGGGCGCGTGTTTTGGCGCACGTGGGTGAGAACAGCATATAAGTGCCCAAAATTGTGACGTTGAGCCACATGGATATTCCGACAGCGACTGCTCCACCGAGGTTCTCCAAGCTTGTTTTGAAAACGAGAGTCCAACAGACAGGAATATGGAAGCAGAGGGTGACAGTTGAGCTGAGGAGCATAGGCAAAACCAAGCTCTGCATTTGGTAGTAGCGTATGAGTGGCTGCAAGGTGGCGTACCCAAACAGAGCTGGGATGAGCCACGTCATGAACCTACCAGTCTCATGAGAAATCTCAGGGTCCTGCCCCACCAACACTAGTACTTTGCTCATTTGCGTCCATAGAATGGAAATAGGGATGGAGATGATGATGAGAGAGAAAATGGCCGTCTGATTTTGAATACCAATTTTTTCGTATTGCTTCGCCCCAAAGGCTTGCCCGCTTATTGTTTCTAAAGCACTTGCCATGCCGAGCTGTTTCATAAATAACACGCGTACAAAGAGTTCATACATGCATATCATGTAGGATTATTTCATTAGGCATCAATTAAGTTTTGAGTTCATACATGCATATCATGTAGGATTATTTCATTAGGCATCAATTAAGTTTTCTATATTTCATGCATGCGCCTTGAATTTTGTTCAAACCCATGAAAAAAAAAAAGAATTTAAGGATTTATTTGACTTGCAACTTCTACTTGACTTCCTTCTAATCTTATATAATATTAGATTTATAGAATCGGGGGAAGAGAGTGTTGTCCCACCAAATGAAGCGCACCATAAGAGGGTGAGCCTAGTTGCACCTTAGTGAAGTTTTATCCCAAAATCAATTAGTGATAGGTTGAGTAGCCCTCTAGGCTTATATACTAGGCTCATTTTCCCTATAGAATCAATGTGGAACAACTCACAAGTGATATTCCAACATATAATCACACCTTTTATGTTTGTTGTGATGGAAAGAGTTGCGACCGTAAAATGATGCATTTGTTTAGCTATCGATTCAAAACAATATGTGAAAATCTATATATGCTATAGAGTCCTCCAAAACAATAGGTGTATTCGTTTGAAAATTTTAAAGAATTTTTAATATTTTAGAATATTTATTGTATTTAATTCAAAAATTTTAAGATTTTTAAAATTCTTGTGGTAGTCATTTAAAATTTTAAAAAGTCTTACAAATCATAAAGTACTTAACTTATTTGAATCTAATATTTGTTAAGACTTTTTAAAATTTGTTCGAATTTCAAAAGATAAAAACATATACAAAATCACACTGTAAATCTCATTGCCAATTCATAGGATTCCTGCTAAAATTTTGAAATTTTAAAAAGTCTTAAATTTAAAAAAATCTTAAAATGCTACTCAAAATTCCAAACTAATACACTCTAAACAAGGGCGGAGCCACCCATAGGCTAGGGTAGGCTCCAGCCCCATGTCAAAAAAAAAATGCTAACTTTATTTTTCAAAAATTTTTGTACATAGCCCATGTAATTTTTTATTTAGTCTCATTTAATTTCAGGTTGAATATCTTAAGATTCAGGTCAAATTTGTTCATCTGACAACACTGGTGGAAGATTGATGATCATAATGAGAGGAAAGAATACAATCCTCTTATGTCAAATGACAATTGTGCCTTCACTAGATAATTATCAATTGGGTATATAATGTGGCCCAACACACTCTTGTCTTTTAAATTCTTAATGGGCTGACTTGACAATTATCAAATGAGCTGGATAATTAAGTTTGACACGCGCTTTCTCCCGCGGGCTATTTAGTTGGGTACGTCTCAATACATAGTCCGTTATATATTTTTCATTTGTTTTTTGTAAATTTCGCCTCCAATACTTAATTTGTCCTCATTTCCTAGACGAATAAAAAACTTTTACAGATTTGATTGCAAACATGTTCGACTCTATTTGTTTGATCGACAAGTTCGATTAGCTATTTGAGCTTGACTTGTTTAAATATATAAGTGAGTCGATATTGAGTTTTCACAAGTCGAAACGAAATATGTTAAGAGATAATTCGTTTCTAGTCATGGCCAAAACTGGTTCAGGGTCGAAAACCGCCGGGTCGTGGGCTGAGGGTTTAAGGGCCCTAAACTGGCCCGAACATATGCACGGGCCGGTTCATTAAAACGTCAGTTCTTGTCCACTCGGTTCATTAAAAAAAATAAAAATAATTAAAAATAATATATTTTTTTTCATTTAAAAAGGTCGAACCTCGGGTTCCGGTTCCGATTCGGAACTGAAACTGCCGATTCAAAATATATAAACTATAAAGTATTGAATATGAACCGAACTGGTCAAAATCACGGCCAAGTGTGTGTCGGTTCAGGCCAACCGACCCATGACCATGTCTACTCGGTTTCAATAATAGCTACAATAATATGCAGCCCCATATTAAATTTTTTTTCTGGCTACACCACTCTAAATATATACCCAATTTAACTCAAGCCTCATTTATGAATGGATATGATTAATTATGCCGCTCCGTGGAAGATTCAAATTAGTCTAAATAGTAAATACAATTATTTAATAAGTAATATTTGGTAGTCTTTCAAATAAAATAAAAGAAAAGTATAGTCTTCATTCTATGCATCTATGTTAATTGGAGTCCCACGATTCCCTGAGTCAGTAGTCTATCACTCAACCTATATAAAGCTCCTTTTTTCTGCATTTGTATATAATTGCAACTGGGTCCAACATGCTTATATTGTCGGTTCCAAATTATGCTTAACTAGCACGTAGCCCGTGCGATGCACAAGACATAAGTATTAATGAGATATTTCCACAGAACTTGTCCGTTAAGTAACTCGTGGAGATATTAAATGAGTGGACCATAGGGCTTGTCCGTTCAGGCCTAAAAAATAATAGAGTTTGATCATCTATCTTTTTACATCTTTTCATCAACGTCATTTTTTTTGTCGGAACATTAAACCTTATTCTGGTAGCGCTAGCCCGTAAACTAATTAAATATATTATCTCGCTCACATGCTTATAATAATATAAATTTGATTTCATTATATATATTTATTTATTGATATAGGAAAAATAACAATTTTATGTAATCTTGTTCCTCGTATAATACTTATATTATTTCATTATAAAATTTATTGTAATATAATGTCATTATTATTATAAGTTATAGACGTAATCTTCTTCTTCTTTTTGTTTTATGTAATTAAAATATTTAATGTATGTTCATATTATTTATTAATGTAATTAATTTAAATTATGTAAATAAATTTAAAGTAAAACATTTTGTACAAACATTTTACAAAATATACATAAATATTTTTTTAGAATTTAATTTTTTTACAATAAATAACAGCTTTGAAATTCTATGCAATTATTAAAACCAATTAAATCTGCTTTATTAAAATCGATTAAATCTTTATTTATAGGCTGAACATTAAAACCGATTTTATGAGATTTTTTTAACTAAACCGATGTTATGGAATAAAACAAATCTATACTTACAATTGACTTTTCCAGCAAAGGTAAAAAAATCGGTTCTGATTTTTATCCCATAACAAATCTTTAATGTCAAGCTATAAATACCAAAATAAATCTATAATTAATGTCATTCTATTTCCAGCAAACATTAATTACCTTTGACTTTTCTTTATACTAAATCTGGTAAATGGGATAGCTTTTAATATAAGTATAGAAGTTGTGAAAAGTTAGGAATTTAATTTGATACTGACATATGTAGAGAAACTTGATGCGAGATGAAAGTTTGATGGACCCATAAAAATACAAAAAACCAATAATTGAACCTACCCCTTAGCATCTAAAGAAAGCAAGAAATAAACATTCTAGACTGTACTGAAAATCGGTTAGAAAATGCGAATTGCCTACTTATTATATCTCTTGTTGTATCACCATTAATTAATTATGTGTTAAAAATATCATATACTTAACATATTCATTTTTATTTCCTAGCACATTAATTAGTTGAAAGACATATCTGATTGTTCATACAAGAGGATGTAAGTGCAGCCACCACTAGAAAGTATTGAAAAAGATAAAAAGGAGAGAAAGTGAGGTATAGTATCGTAATTCAAGCAACTCGGTGAATTGTTTCTATAATATATATTAGGTAATATATATGATTCTTTTTAATTATTTATCGTTTTAGATTATTATTATAATGGTATCTATACACGAAATCTTAAAACAATCTCATAACTATAGTACTCCATAAAATCTTATTTTTCTTAAAATTACTAGAAAAGAGATGGATAAATACATGAGTTGAAAAGATTTAACGATTAGTATATATTTGATAGTATATGAACTAATGTGTATCTCGTGCGATGCACGAAAATATTATTAAATTAACAATATTATAAATAGACCTCGAGTTTGAGTCAATGGCGGAAATGAAAACTACTATTGATCCTATTTAAAAAGAGGAAAAAAAAATAATTATGAATAAAAGTGGAGGATAAACAATACTTAATAATTATAAATTAAAGATTCGGGGTCAAACAATGTAAAATTATTTTGTATAAGAGAATATAAAAGAATTTGATTACACACCATTTCAAAATTATTATTATACTTTTTTGTATTGTTAGCTTAGAATATTTGTAAAAATATTAGTAATTAGACCGATGAAAATTAGCTTCTTAAAATAGATTTTTTTGCCTATTCAGATTTGTCCAACAATTACTATATATAGAATATATTTAATGATTTTGGCGGGAAAAAGTTTTTAAATTTGTAAAAAGGTTATTCTTTTTATGTAATGATAGATTGTATAACTCTTCTGTTTTTCTCTAGGACAATAATTATTTTAATTTTTTCTTACGATAATGCTTGCAGAGTTCAGGAGTCGCATTTGAAAGAGAAGAAAAAGTTGAGCGTTTTTTAGTTTTTCCATGATTTACAAAGTTTGTCTTTGGATTAAACTAATGGACTATTTCCAATTGAAGGTCCCTAAAACATTTGAAAAGAAGGGAAGTAAGTAAAAGAATGGGAAAATTGAAAAACGAAAAATACTAAACAAAAAATAAATAAATTGCAGCACTTCTAATTAATAATGAGCGTAAAAGATGTGAGATCATGATTTAAGGAAAAATAACAAACCATCAAAACGACAAATATCCAGCCGTAAGTTTAGTATCCCAAGAGAGGCATACATCCAATATATGTATAAAGTAAGATTAAAAACCAACCCTCATCTACTTACAACAATAGGATAATATATAATGCAATATTCAATCGTGAATGATCTTAAATTATTGTTCTAATAAATTTTAATACTCATCCTTATAATGAGTCCAAACACTGAAACACATATGCATTAATGAATACTATAATTATTCACCATTAAAAAGAGTAAAATACCAATATGATCGATGATTGGATATCAAATTGTTTTATTCTCACATTATTTCCTTCTCTAACCCAAACTAATACCTTAACTAATAGAATGAAAATACAAAATCAATTATCATTAATAATATTAATCACTCACTCAAACATATTTTTACCTATAGTTCATTATCAAAAAATATTTTGCTATCTTCATATTATGTAAACTATAATTACCAATTTTTTTAATTTATACTAGTGCGTAGCCCGTACGATGCACGGGAAAACAATATTACGATTGTATTATAAATTAAATATATAAATAACATTAATTATGATTTATTCATTATTTTTAAATTAAAGCGGGTTGGACACAGTCCCACCGGATGGACCGAGAACCGGTTTATTAACCAATCTAATTCGGTTGAATAAAATATTTGCTCTCGAATCCGTCAACACCAGTCGATTGGACTAGTAGGATCGATACAATTTTCTAAATAAATTTTGTTATATTTAAATTTATTTTAAATAAAATTACATATTTAAATAAAATTGAAATTATTTATCAATTAGTTTAAACATTTGAATTTATAAATTGTTTAAATATCTAAGTAACACATTTTATTTAAAATTATTACAAAAAGTACTATATATATATTAAAATGTGTATAAATTAAAATCTGAACAAACCACAAATGATTTAATAAAATAGCTTGATCATTTCGATGACGGTCCAGTTCTAAAAACCTTATATTTACTGTACATTAATAAATATTATAATAAAATATTATTTAATTCACATAAATATTAATAAAATGATATACAAATATTCATAAATCATTAAACATGTTGTCATAAAATTATTGTTAATACGATTATTTGAAGTTTGGACTACATCACATTCACGTAATAAAATATTTTCAATATAAAATTTATATTTAGGTTCAATAATCGATTTAGTGTGGTCGAACTGATACATAACTTAGTCACTTGGGACCAATCAAGTTGTGTCAAGTTTTTTGACTATTTTAAATATCACCTAAAAGTAATTCAATCAACCTGGGCAGTACCCTAATTCAATCACCCGATTGATCCGAAGAAATTTTCTTATTTTCTTTAAATATATTTAGTTTTATGAAATAAAAATATTTTATGATTTATATAATAAATGTCTATACCAAATGATAGTATATTAAGATTATAAATTATATATGTAAAGATGAATTAATTATTTTTACTTTATGCATATTAATAAAAAATAAACATAGTAATTTTCAAAAAATTAAGATTAATTGATTGATTATATGCAATTTAAAAAATATTTTTAGCGTTCAATATTTTTTCAACGGCACAAATATAAAGTCCGAGATTCTAAAACTTCTGTTATATTTTGAAATGAGATTTTATAAATGTAGAGACCGAGATTTTAATATTGTTCGTTGTTTTTAAGAAAAAAATAGAAATAAAAACATACACATTTAATAAATCTTAGCCAGATTTTTTAAATAAAAAAATAAATTAAAGCCCGAAATTCAAGGTAGCATTTAATGATGTATGATTTTTAAAGAAAAATAATAAAACTTACTATTTATAAACTGTCTTAAATTTTGGCTTATTTTTTTGCAACTATTTTAGTAAATGGTAATTATTTATTTACAATTTCAAAAATATTTTCACTTTTTTTTATTTATATTTATCTAAAGTTTCTTGTACTTATCCAATGATTAATACAACAATATAGTTACATAGAAGAAGAAAAAAAAAGGAAAATGAAAAAATGAAATAATGATAGTTTTGGAGAGAGATGAAAAGGCGTGCTTACGTGGAAGCTGAAGCCGGTGACGGAGGCAAGAGAGAAGGCTATGGCGGAACTGGAGAGAGAGAGCTCGCCCAAATGGCCGACCATCATAAGTGAGATGACCTGCAAGAGGAAGAATGATAGAGTGACGGCCATCATCGGCCCGGCCAAATAACCCAACCGCTTCATCTCCTTCCCTATCTCCCTCCATCTCGACCCACCACCACCGCAACTCTCCTTTGCTAGTAAACCTGCCTCCATTTTCTCTCTCCTTTTCTCTTTCTTTTAAGCCTCGGGCTGTGGGGGAATTTGTTGTGACTTGTGTTTATAATAAGTAATAAGCGGCGGGCGGATTTTTGTTCATTTTATTGTTTGTTTGTTTATTGATCCAATTCTGTTTCTGAAAATGAGGGGTACATTTGTCCCGTTGCTATGATTAAGGTTAGATGCAATCATACTTGAATTTTATGATTGTTAAGTGTTTATTTGTTTTAAACACAAAAGATATATGAAAGTGTAGCCATTTTTATAAAACTGGAGTGTGGGTCGTGCAATGCACGGGAAAACTATGCTACGATTATATATTTATAATTTGTTTATTGTTTTTGAAATCGGACCAGACAGTCCGATCGAATTGGGAACCGATTTATCGATTGGTCTGGTTTGCTTGAATAAAATGTTAGTTAATGAACCAGTAATCACTACCCGATCGGACTGGTAGAAGCTATATTATTTTTCCATTAAAATTTGTTATATTTAAAATTATTTTCTATATAAATAAAAATACATATTTCAAATAAAGACCTTACTTGGTCTACAAAATACTTAAACCTACCGGCTATCCATCGTCGATCGGTCGCCTATGGATCGGCAGACTCCTTTCTTTCTAACAGCCTCTACATGTTGATTCGATTCGTTGTCTTCATCAGATGTCAAGTCCAAGCGAACTCTCTTCCAAGCATATATGCCCTTAATAAAGTTCAGATCCTCACCACTCTCTAGGCTCTTCAACACCCAATGGATACTGGCGGAACGCTACGTCTTCAAGAGCTCATCAACATCAGAAGTCTACTTGTAACACCCCGCTCATCAAAGTAACTTTTTCGCAACTTTTACTTCGAAAATACTTATAACTCTTTCGAAATATTTTGCGACTAACTCGAGATGCTACTCAAACTCAACTTTTTGAAAATCTGTCTATCTTTAAACTTTTTGTCTAATGCTTCTCTAGACATAAAGAAAACAGATTTTCTTTAAACTTGCATTTAACTGTACCATATTCATACTTCTCGAAATAGTAAAAACTTGAAATCTGAAATTTATTAAAAATGCAAGTTCAATACTTAATGTGCATAGCGGAAATACTTAAAAACGTGGTTTATTATACAGACATATCAAGTACTTAATAAATGTCCACATGAAATAAGTGCACGACCATCACCACCACATCTCGAGCTCACACCTCCGCCCCGACCCTGTTACTTGAAAAACACAATGGGGGTGAGTACTGATCCGCTTGTACCCCGAAATCACCCATACTAAAGTAAACAGCAATAATAATACAATATCATGATCTTTGGTATATATCTGGACTGAAAATCTGTTCCAGTAACTTAAACTGAATCTGGCCGATATCTGATCGGATACTTATGCACAATCTGATGGATATTTCTCAAGGCAACTCAAACGGCCTCCATCAGAACTTAGAATATACTCTAAGACAACTGAATGTCTTCTCATCCCAAGCGTATAAACTTAAACTGTATACATACCTCGGACATGATATCAATATTATACTCAATGTAATACCCAGTCTGGGTCCCCACCTTTCTCCTTTGAAAAATCGTAAGTGTTGATCTCGAGTAGCTAACTCCTCAAGCTACATAAAAATATATAAACAAATATACTAAGTACTATGCTCGTATACTCAATAAGATGCTCGGATTCTCAACTCTTTCGGATAACTCATCCAAATTTTATAAAATTTCAATATTCATGCTATTGCTCAAGCTTAACTTTTCTTGATCTTTTACTCAATCAAATACTTAACTCATCATATATCATATCTCCCAAATCTTATATATTGGCTTATACTCATTTTTCACTTAATTAACTTGAAAGTGAAAATAAACTCAAATCATACTCAACTTTTAATCATGATATTAATATGTGAGATTTAAAACAATCTTTATAAAATTGTATACTCAACATATTAAACTAAAATTTTGTCAAATTGTTCATCACTTATATGAGAATTGTTCATAATAATCTCATTTAAACAACTTGAACATATCTTGAATATTCTTGCATATAAACTTATCTTTACATATATGCCATCTAATTATCTCAACTTATTCATTTCTCATCTTCAAATCATAAAATTTAACAGTCATAATCTCAACTCATAATTAGACATGTCATAAAAATTTCATAATTTTAGCATGCATATACATCAAGTTATTAGAATTTGAAGTTACAACTAAAACATTGAACATAAAATTCAACATACATGTTCATCTTCAGATCTCTATAACTTAAGTTATACTATGCCAAATAACATAATTCTTGTTCTCATGTACTCCTCTTTTACACAAGAATTACTCATTTAAATCATACTTTTCCAGATTATTCATATCTTCACCAACATCTCATCAAATCAAGTACATATATCATATAATTGATCTTGAACAACTTTAACTCTTTGTATTCATATAATCAATTATAAATATAACTTCTCAATCATCATATATATACTTATAAACATCTAAACTCAATATCAAAGTATGAACTTAAGCATAAAACTTTAAGATAAGTAAATTACCTCCTTCTTGCTAGAATCGTAACTTGATTCTTCACTTCTAAATTCTTCACGTCTTCACAATTTCTACTACTTATCTCTCTTACACTCTTATATATCTTTTGGTACTTATCTTTGGTGTGAGAACTCTGATTTTTAGGCCTCTGTTTATAGGCACAATTTGGCAATACATCATAATGGAGTGAAGAAATGAACAAAATAAACAATTTAAACTTATAAACTTAATTAATCATAAACTATTTTATGATTAACTTGTATTCTTATCAAAACATAATTAATTATCAAAAATGGCCTCTGGTTGAGATCACAATCGGATTCTCAATGATCAAACCTTACTGTCGGCAACACGACTCGTGTGGCATGTCACACGACTCGTGTGACCTCACACGACTCGTGTGGCTATATCACACGACTCGTGTGGCTATGTCACACGACTCGTGTGGCTCCAAACGACTCGTATGGCTATGTCACACGACTCGTGTGGCTCCACACGACTAGTGTGCCTTGTCACACGACTCGTGTGAAAAAGTCGAAGCTAACTTTCATCTCTTCATCCTCCCACACGACTCGTGTGCCTTGTCACACAACTCGTGTGACTTGTTCCATGATAAACTCTTAATTTCAAACTTATAACTGAATACTGAGTCTCGAAATTAATCAAATCTTGGAACAACTACTGATACTTTATTAATAACTGAGAGGGATATTACACTACTTGTCCTTGTCGATCGCTATAACATGCTCTTCGTTGCATTTACACCCCTCGACCAGGCTGATCTTTGCCTTCGACGAAGTCAATCTCCTTCCCTTGCTTAATGTCAATCTCCCTACCATCATTGAACTGCGTGGAAAACGGCCCTCTCTTCCTCAAGCTCGTGACGGACATTGGCCAACATCATGTTCAAATGGCTCACTGTTGTGTGGTTCTTCTTCATCACCTCACTCTCATGCATCATCTCCACAATCTGGCACGCATGACGAACCTTGACGTCCTTCACGTTCTCCTCCAGTCGATCCTTGTCCACAGTCAGCACCACTGATTCCCCGAAGGTCTTTCTATATTCTTTGCTCATGTCATTCAACCGCTCTGCCAACACTCTCTGGCGTTCTTCGCAAGTGCCCATGCATAGCCCGGAGCCTTTTCAACTCTGCAGATGATTCTTGTGCCTCGCTGATCCCTTGAATGATCGACCCCAATGCCACAGCCATATGGGCTACCATCCATTGTTGCCTCTTTAATGCTTGCATGCTCGAAACTTTTGCTTTCAAGTCTAGTGTCCACACCATTATAGGGATGTGGGGCGCATTTATCACATTATCTGACACTTCATAAGGCTCGGAGTTGGAGATGTTCAGAATTTAAGAACCAACAAAATTGTAGTACCAATCGGGCCTACGTCCCTCAAAATTCTGTGTGGCTCTCTCTTTCAAGGGATCGCAGGCAGATAACCCACAGATGAAGCCCAAAAATTCGATCCCTCGACCTTGCCTCTAGAAGGCGACTCGGACTACTAGGGGGCCACCTGCCCAGTCTCCACCCTTTGAACCTGTTCTTCAACTTGAACTAACGGTTCAGGACTATCTCCTTCAAACTCGACATTCATATGTTCCATGAAGATCCCTGTTGCCCTATCTTCCTCTCCAGACAGGCGATCATATTCCTCCTTCTTCACCTCCACAGTTACTGGTGGAAAAATGAGGTAATCTCGAGCGGGAGACTCTCTCCTTGGATGTTTTGACACTCCCGCAACTTCTGCTGACGCACTTGATAGCTGACGCCTCATACCAATCTTCTTTGACCCTATCATCGATGGAGAACTCTGAGAGGTTTCCAAAGGCGTTGGTGTTGGGGTTCAGTGAGGAACCTCAAAATTATGGAAGTCACGGAACGTATATGCAATAAACCTAAGTGCAACCGAGTGACCTGTCGATGAGTTCGAATACTGAATGGCCACCCGATGAGGTAGAAAACCAAATGACCCGATGTCACCTTCAAGTCAAAAACCGAATGACCTACCACTGAGGTCGAGAACCGTATGACCTACCACTGAGGTTGAAAACCGAATGACCGCCGAGGTTGAACCTTGATTTCTGGAGTAAATTCCTCTGCTCCTCATTTTGCAATGTCGACCTTCATTTGATATCTCTTGACATGCTTACTTGGACTTCCATGATACCTTGATAGATTTTCTCGACCTCTCCCCGAATCTTGAATTTGAAATTTTGAACTCACGTATTTTGTTTTCCAACCACCATGTACGAGCTCTTTTCGCTCAAAGATAAACCTTTTCGGCCACCTCGTCCTGTCGCCCCTCACTTTCTCGATCAATCTTGCCCGTCGATTTTGACCTACCTCCGACGATTGAAAGTGTTCGACCTTTTTTCGAGGTTTGTCACCGAGGTCTGCGAGTATATTCCACGATGTGCACCAAGTAAAAACCATCAACCTGCCACTTCTCCAAGGTCTACAAATAAACTCCGTGAACTGCACCAAGTGAACTTCATCGACCTACCACTGAGGTCAAAAAATAAATTCAACAAAACCAAACCAAGTGATAAACCATCGAACTACCATCGAGGTCTACAAATACACTCCGTGAACTGCACCAAGTGAACTCCATCGACCTGCCACTCAGGTCGAAAAACAAATTCAACAAAACCAAACCAAGTGATAAACCATCGATCTGCCATCGAGGTCTACAAATAAACTTTGTGGACTGCTCCAAATGAACTCCATCAACCTGCCACTGAGGACGAAAAATAAATTCGACAAAACCAAAACAAGTAAAAACCATCGATCTGCCATTGAGGTCTGCCAATAAGCTCTGCGAATTGCTCTAAATGAACTCCATCGACCTGCCACTGAGGTCGAAAAATAAATTCGACAAAACCAAACCTAGTAAAAACCATCAATCTTCCACCGAGGTCTATCAATAAGCTCCACGAATTGCTCCAAATGAACTCCATCGACCTGACACTAAGGTCGAAATAACAAATTCGACAAAACCAAACTAAGTAAAAACCATTGACTTGCCACCGGGCTTCGCCAATAAACTCCGTGAATTGCTCCAAATGAATCCCATCGACCTGCCACTGAGGTCGAAAAACAAATTCGACAAAACCAAACAAAGTAAAAACCATCGACCTGCTCGAGCTATTCGTCCTCTTTGTCTTCAACGACCCAACACTATGATTGACCACCCAGCACGAAGGCCTTAATCATGGTGAATTTTTTTTCTTCGACCACTTGCCCACCCCAAAAGGGATGTACCCGAAATGAGCGACCATCCAGCCTGAAGGCCTTAATCATTGTGAATTTTTTTATTCGAACATTTCCCCACCCCAAAAGGGATGTACCAGAAACAAGCAACCATTCAGCCCGAAGGCCTTAATCATGGTGGATATTTTTTTCTTCGACCACTTGCCCACCCAAAAGGTATGTACCAGAAACAAGCGACCACCCAGCCTGAAGGCCTTAGTTATGGTGGATTTTTTTCTTCGACCACTTGCCCACACCCAAGGGTATGTACCAAAAACAAGCGATCACCCAGCCTGAAGGCCTTAGTCATGGCGGATCTTTTTCTTCGACCACTTGCCCACTCCAAAAGTGATGTACCAGAAACAAACGACCACTCAGGCCTTAGTCATGGTGAATTTTTTTCTTCGGAACAGCTCAAACACTTCAACCTGACAGTAAGGTCAAATAAAAACAGAACAAAATAGGATAGTAATCGATCAATTTCATTAGTGTCATTGAATACATAATTATATCGAACAAAATAGAGAAAAAAAAAAATCAAGCATATTTTTTGACCTACCTTTCCTGTTTGTACATGACGACCTGCATTGCCGCTTACTCTCCGTTGTTCATTCCTCACCGTAATCAAGCACTGTATATAAATATACAGCCCACATGCTCATGTATTTTTCTCAACAAGAATTAAAAAAATAACATTAGCCGTCTTTTATCCACATCATCTAATTCGCAATTTCGATAGCAATAAGAACAAGAGATGAATAAATCAAAGCAGTCAAATTGGTTCACGTACATTTATGGCACACCTCAATCCACAAACAAGTCTCTTTACCACGATACGTAATCACATAAACACCCACTCAAAGGCAAGGTCAATTAGAATTTCACAAAACCATGAATTCTACAAAAAATTATAACAAACTAAATTCCGCAGATACAAACAACCATTAAACCAATGCAAACTTTCGACCATACACCAAGACCACAAAAATCAAATTAAATCGCATTTTTCGATTGCTTGCATAATACTTCAATTCAAACCACTTGCTCACCAAAAGAAAATTCAAATGAGTTGCTCCCAATATCAAGCTCAATAATTTAACTCTAGCCAATGTCTATGAGTCCATCGATAGAAATTGATAAATTCACCAATCACACGAAAAACACAATCACGAAATATCCTCAAATTCAAAACTACCACCTACATTTATTTTCAACCAAACTTGTTTCATTAGTGCTATGTAAAATATAGTTCGCCTCTCCAAATGCAACTGATAAAAATAACCAAATTTCTCAACGAATAAATCAAATAATTTTTCAATTCTCACCAATTTAAAATCCTCTGGTCCAAAATTTAATTTAATCACATACCTTCACCATGATAACATTGTGATAATGTTGCCTAAAGTTAACTCGTCATCCACGCTGTGTCTTTTCGGACTCGTCGTGGGCTCCTCATCTGCGTTGAATCATCCCGAAATAGCCTTGGGCTGGAAACGGGGAGGTTAGATTGAGCTGGGCCAGTCTGGACCGCTGTGGGGCATCTGAACCGATCTAGCCCACTGCTGGGCTGCCTGGACCAATATGGTTCTTGTTGGGGCGCTAAGGGTGGGGGAACTGGGCCGCACGGGTGGGACTGGTGGAAGGCTAAAATTCGCAGACCAAACGCGGGCTGCTCGCGGGCTGGACCTATGGGAGGCGCGGGTTGAAGCTGTAGGAGGCGCGGGCCAGACTCTGTGTGGGGTTTGGGCCGCGTGGGCTAGATGCGGCCCGCGTGCTTTTTCTCTCCTCCTGTTGGGCTTCGCGCGAAATGGGCCACGCGTGTTGCTGCTGGGCCGACCGCGTTCTGGACTCTATCTTGTGCTATGGGGAGTACTCACTTTGGCCTCCTCTTTGGACTGGATCATCTGCGTTCGCTGGGCCAGACACGGACCGAAGGACGCGGACTGGGCTACTTGGACCAACACCTACTGCACTGGGTGGTGAGCACAAGAGCTTCAATTAGCCGAAAAAAAAAAAGTCGTCGGCCGAAGCTCGCCGATCCTAGCGAAAGTGATCGGCCGTGGGTGTGCCTCGGCGAGGAGATTCTGATGATGTCCTCGACTTGAAGTGGGTCACCGAGAATCTCCGCAAAATTGGAGAAGGAGATCGGAGTTTACCATAATTTCTTAGATCCAAAAACTTTGACCGCCAAAATTGACGGCCTTCCCAGTTGAATTTTTGCTTGAAAGTTTAGTAGGATGATGAGCGCGAGAAGAGATTTGCGATGATACAAAAAAAAATTCTGATCGGACGACTTTGGCCGATGGTGGCCAGTGAAGGTAAGTTGCTGTAGATTCGCCTCAGTGAGAGGATTCCAATGGTGCTCTCGGATTTTCGGTACCCATCACGAATCACTAGGAAAATGGATTTGAAGGTCGGATGTTGACTAAAATTTTCTAGATTCGGAATGTTTTACCGGCGAAATTGAAGGTCTTACTGGTGGAATTTTCGCATGAAATTTTAAGGGGACAAATCACCTTGATTAGATCTAGCGGGTGACGTAAAAAAAATTTCAATTGGAGCATGTTGGCCGGCGGAGGTGAAGGAGATAGTTGGAAATTTTTCAGAATTTTTCGATCAGAACTTCGTTTGCCACGTTCGATTCTTTGGCTTTTTGAACGGGTCCCACAGACGGCGCCAATGGTAGTAAAATGGACTTCACCCGGGCTTCTTCAACTCGGACAACCTCAGTACCTGCAAGAACTCAACACCAGGAGGGGTTCTGGCGTTGAGCTTCCGATGACTAAGTCAGCACTCGCCATGGATAAAGAGTGCAATATGTAAGTATAGTAATGAATGTAAAAAGAATGTGTTTTTGAGATATCTTAGGCCCTTTATATAGGGGATGAGTACCTTAGTGCCCAAGTTGAGCTTGACCAATACCATTATGCCACGTGTCCTAGCCCATGTGTAGGCTTATTCTCCAATATATTCCTTATTATCCATTAAAACCGGTCTAGTATGGTATTTCATATCAAAGTTGATTAAT